CCCTCCAGCGGGATCAGAAAAGGTTGTATTAAAGTTTCGATCGGTTAATAACATGGTAATTGCCCCTGCCAGTACCGGAAGTGATAATAAAAGTGGGAATGCTGTCACTAGAACGGACCACACAAATAGAGGTGATCTATGCATAGTCATACCAGGTCCACGCATGTTGAAGATAGTTGTTATAAAATTGATAGAACCTAAAATGGATGAAACACCAGATAGATGAAGACTAGAAATTGCTGAATCAACTGCTCCACCAGAATGGCTGGTAATACCACTTAAGGGCGGATAGACCGTCCACCCAGTTCCGCTACCCACTTCTACTAAGGCTGGGCTTAATAGGAGCAAGAGACTTGGAGGCAACAACCAGAATGAAATATTATTTAATCGTGGAAATGCCATGTCAGGCGCACCTATCAGAATCGGAACAGACCAATTACCAGATCCACCTATCATCGCCGGCATAACCATAAAAAAGATCATTAAAAAAGCGTGAGCCGTTATTAAAACATTATAAAGTTGATGATTTCCACCAAGAATTTGATCGCCGGGTCGTGCTAATTCCATACGAATCAGTACTGAGAAGCATGTGCCCATCACTCCAGCAATGGCACCGAAGATGAAATAGAGAGTCCCTATATCCTTGTGGTTAGTGGAGAACAGCCATCGGACCGGATTTGTCATAAAATTTCGATTTTTTTATTTTCTCCGCCCATAAGACTTTCGTCTGGGACTTACATATCTGGAACCTTATTTAGATTCTATTTATATTATAAGCTGTGCACACCGTTGTTTAGGCGTGAAAGGGTTGGGAAAAAGGTTCAAAAAAGACTCATTTGAAAACCAGTGAACCCGCTCAGATACCTCATGGAAATTGACCGCTGCTGGTAAGTCACCATCTCCCGTAGGAGTAGTGTCCCTATATACTCTATATATCTATATACAATATAGAGTTGATCCATCTACAGCTACTTTTGTTACAGTAGTTTCCATATTGATACCATGGACAGCGCTAATGGCCACCAGAATAGCTACAGGCAAAGCCAAACCCATTTTCAATTCCATCCCATACATAATACCGACATAGTTCAACTCATTTGAAACGAATCCCTTCTTCTTCGTATAGTTCGTATAGAATTGTCCCATCTAAGTCTAGATCCTTCATTACAGAACCCCTGTATTTCTGAAGGACGAGCGTATGAAAGAAAAGTGGTAGGTTATGTATGTGCTGTTACCTTATGAACCGTGTCAGAATCAGTATCAAATAAACCAAAACTATCACAGACGCTTTTGAATCAGACTGCATTCCCTCTGAAACTCCAGCCAACTTTTTAAGGATCATAGCAATGATTATCCCCGTTCATCCTACTTCTTCCATGGAAAAGGCTAAGAACCGAACCATAGAAGATTTTAACCTGTAACCTTAAGCTCTACTCCGCAGCAAAGGGATGCACTCGAACGTAAAGATACGTATCGTCTCACTAGATGAACTTATACTTGCCATTTGAAAGAATCATAAGCACAATGGTGTAAAGGAAAGGTACGAAATGAGTGTAACGAAACGAATTGTGAAACTCATAGACG